GAATTGAATGCCCTTCAAAATGATGTGCCACTTGACCCCCCTTTCCATTTGAAATTCTGAGGGTAACATCCACCCCTCCTAGGGGGTTGAACCCCGAGGGTTGAAAATATTCATTCAGAGTGTCCCCCTTGCAAATAAAGTTGACCTGTCTGACCATTTTTTCATATTATGTACTGGAAGGGAGATATTGAGGGTGGGAAGTTTTCAAATTGACACACTGTATATTGTAACGAATTAATGAATAAACTGTCTTAAACAAATTTATTCTTAACAATATTTCACTATCACAACTAATTTATGTACAACACTTAGCAACTAACGCTAAATTTATCTCCACAGTTAGATTTCTTTCTTTAAACGCACGATTCACTTTCTAAGTACAGACTGCCTTACTGACTAGAAGCGGCGCCTTTTTATATCGGCAACGATCGCTCCGGATCTCTTTAGGGATTTCAGGACTCATCTACACCTTTCGCGTTGTTTCACGATGAGTCATGCGTTTGCTGACTGAGATAACGGTCAGTACCGGCTTCAGATTCATTACAGTATTATAGCAATTATAGAATGGAGACTATAGAACAGAGCCATATTCTAATTTTGACCTTACGTAGACTACATAAAGATCTACAATTGTGAACTATGAAGCCATAAACTTTCAATGCTTCACTAAATTTCGATCTAATGTGGTTAGAAAAAGACAAATTTTGGTCAAAATATACACCTAGATCTTTAATCGAGTTACTTCGTGACAGTCAAATGGTATCTATTAGATAATTATACTCGATGACTGACACAAAGTGGAAGAAAAAGTCCTCCTGAAACAACTACTTTCATATAAACATTGAACTAGATGAAAGAAAAAATATTTTCACTTGCTCTAAACAGAAATCGGGTCACCAGGTAGGTATTCGAAAAATTGGAGATCACAGAGGCTGATTTCAAGCATGACTTATTCAACCATAATTTAGGAGATGTAACAGAGCTGATAAGTAGGTAGATGGTTTACGACTATTCAGCAAAACAACAATACTGTTCAATACCTTTACAAAACCTTTCTGAAGGCATACAACTTTCTGAAAAGAAAACTCAAATAGAATTGTATGGGTATATGGAAGTAGAAAGCGGGGATACAATAAGCATTTTGTTAAATTTATTCAACAATTTATGTTATTTTGTTGTATGAGTATAAAGCATTCATGTAGTGGAAGTTGATGTAAACTTCAAATCGACAACCCAGTACATTTTTTGATCGGGAAAAACTGAACCGTTATTGGTTGTCAACCTAAATTTGACTAGGCTATTGACAAATGTCACAATTAAAATTTAGGACCACAAATATTGCACAAGAATATTTTTTATTTGAGTGGAAATTCCAAGAACCCCGTCTTCAAATCGATACTTTCTCGTTAACGGGGATTCACTTAATTCCAGCAACAAGAATTACGTCAATTGCATAATTATTTGCTAAATTACTCTTGTCATATGGTACTATATTTTAAAGATAATCGTTATCTCTTTGACAGTTTAAGTTACGAATTCTGTAAAACGGAATTAACTACATAGATTTCCATACTGTTACTTAAGAAAGTTGCATTGATTCGAAATTTTTTATTTTACCTGTTTGCAGATACCTAAAATCTTCTTCTCCAATAAATGTTTTATGTTGAAACGGTCATGATTTTTGGAAATATTAATTTTTCGTAGCTTTCTAATTCTTCCTCTTTATACAACAAAATATGGGAATTTTCCAAAGAAAAGAAGAAAGCAATTAGTTCAAAATGAACTCCAGCAGAGCTAATTTTGGGTCGCAGTTCTACAATTGTATTAGCAATTGATAATGACGTTCAAATTTCAATATTTACTTGGATAAATAATTGATAGATCAGTTCAAATTAATAACATTAAACTAACCGAAAACCATATTTTATGTAATGTTGTTGAGAAATTAACAAAAAAGAAACCAAATACAAAATCCATTGATATCGGCTATGACAAAAGAGACATTAGTCTGAAATTCTAAGTATTATGATTTTTTCAGGCATTTGTGGATATTGACGAATCCATTGTTCCAAATATTTTTTGCAAGATTTAAAGGGTGATTTTGTTGATAGCTTTAAGTACATATTTTTACATAAAAATAAAAATTCAAGAATAAAAAAAATCTAAAGATGGCCCTGGAATGTGGTTGTGATATGTGGAAAAGTTAGATTTGGTTTTGGTCACATTTGTAAAATAAAACTGAAAAATTACTTATATGAATTTCACTAATAAGGTCCTTCAGTTGAAGCAAATTTTGAGCATTTTTTCAAATATTTTGATAATGCATTCAACGTTATCAAAATACACGACTTTGAAACTATGTGTTTGTCGAAAGGTAGTGTGACGTCACGAGATATGTGTGATTCTCGCTATAGTGTCTAAAATGTTATAAAGTGAAGCATTTAATGTTTTTATATAAATAATATTGATTCAGAAGTATTGGATTCTTATGTTTTTTCATTTTTCAGTCAAAGTTGTGCCAAAGCGAGAAAAATAACGTAGGACATTGCAAAAAAATTACCGTATGCTACTCATTTTTTGTTTACTTTACAATCATTCATAAAAATGAAAAAGAAATGTGGATATTACTCGCAAAAATGATGTTTTTCGTAAATCAAATGTGTGACGTCATGAGATATGTGCGATTGTCGATAAAATGTCCAAACTGTTATAGAAGTGAAGCATTTATTGTTTTTATATAAATAATATTGATTCAGAAGTATTAGATTCTTATGTTTTATCATTTTTCAGTCAAAGTTGTGCCAAAGCGAGAAAAATAACGTAGGACACTACAAAAAAATTACCCTATGCTTCTCATTTTTTGTTTATTTTACAATCATTCATAAAAATGAAAAAGAAATGTGGATATTACTCGTAAAAATTATGTTTTTCGTAAATCAAATGTGTGACGTCATGAGATATGTTCGATTGTATGTAAAGTGTCCAAACTGTTATAGAAGTGGAGCATTTATTGTTTTTATATAAATAATATTGATTTAAGTACTGAATTCTTGATGTTTTATCGTTTTTTCGTCAAAGTTGTGCCATAGCGAGGTAAATAACTACAATGGGATAGAAATGTGGACATTCTCGTTATCTACTAACAATTTGGATAGGGAAATTAAAAAAATTATACAGATAGGACATAATAACGGTTTCAACGCAGACACAATCCAGAAGTTAGTCAGAAAACAAAGCCTCAAATTTACGTAGAGATTAATATACTCCCAGATCAAACAATCAGAAATCAAGAAATTTGTATTTTTGGTAAAAGAACAGAGACAATGGCGGGATTTTTTTAGAAAAAAACAATGTAGAACTAGCATTCAGACCACATGCCAGGTTATCTAATTTCCTTTTCAATGCCAAAGATAAGGTGGACAAATTGGAGAAATCTGGAGTTTATAAGCTTATCTGTCGGAGTGTAATAGTGTTTATGTAAGACAATGTGGTCGAAATTTTTCAAAACGGTATGCTGAACATGAAAGGTCCTTCAGACTAGGTAAAAATGATTGGACGTTTTCAAATCATTCCTTAAAATGCAACCATAAACTCGCGTATCTAAACGATACCGAGATTTTTCACTATGCAGGCAAGGATGGTTATTTGGAATCCTTGGAAATTTATAAACATAAGCATTGCGGATGTAACCTACTTGAATTACCACAACAATAAGTAGAGAAAAGTATCTTCTGTATAGAAGTATTTGTTTCGAAAGAATTTTTTTTCTTTCGTGTAATTCAATATTTATATGAAAGTAGCTGTTTCAGGAGGACTTTCTTTCAGTTTGTGTCTGAAAGTTACTTCTTTGCATGATCTACACATCCATGTATAGAGTTACTTAATTTAGAATTACTTCCTTCCTTTCCTTGGAAGATTCCCTCATCCTTGTTTTTTGTATCAAGATGGAGTAGTAGAAAGCCAAAAACTTTCTTTCCCAAAAAATTAATCACTCCTAAAAATATAACCCCTTCAATTCAAACAATAAGTTATTATGTAGGTAAATATTTCTTAAACTTCCTAGTTTCTCATCATGAACCTTTTAGTTTTAAGTAATATCAGTATTAATATATCAGTTTTAGGTCATTTTTGAGAACTTATTTTATATATACCAATTTTATGACAGTCTTATGCTTATGTTATCATCAACCCTATTTATATATTTTCTTCTCATGTTTATAAACACTGTGTACCCTCTTTCTGTTTATATTCATGTATTGTGACTTGCTACAAATGTTTTCAACATAACGTAGTCAAATAACGTACCTATTTATCTACTGAATGACCAAATTGATCTAGTTTACTCGTCGGTTTCATACTAGCGTACCCACATTGTCACAGGTAAACAAAATTCAGGTAATAAAGTCATTAAGGACCATCTGTTATTACCGACAAGTGGTTGTATTGGTATACAAGGGCGTACACTGTTGATTAGTTTCAGTTCATTTTATTCGTTTGGAAATGTCCTCAGTAACGTTAGTTACAAATTTTAATACAAGTGACATAAAAGTATAGGAAGTAATGGCTACATCCATCAATTCAAAAAATTCTCAAGGTTTATTTTGCGAATGAAAAAAAATCCAAACACAACTATAAGGATTTGAATGTTATCAACTGTGATTGGTTCAAAGGTGTGCGTTGTGCCATTTTGACTACCTACTTTGACAACACACTTGATGCTCTTTCCAATAGTCACGGAAGAAGACGACTCATGAAATCGAACCAACTCGAGTGAGAGACCCCTTATAATCATAACCAAAACAATCTGTCATTCCTCAGACACGTTCATCGCCTCCCCTCTACCGAAAACTCCCCTTACGAACTAGGCCCGCATGTTATGCGTGACTTCTCACATGCGTCACTCCACAATTCCTTTTTTTTTTACTCACCGAACGTGGGTTTGGGATCTTCCCCGTCAACCGCTTCCTCGCCGTGCTGAAGCGACAGCAGGGCCTTCAGCCAGCCATCCAACTCTTCCTCGGAATCGAGCACGACGCAAAAACAATCGTCCTTGGTGTAGAGAGCGATGACATGTTTGTGTTTGGTGTCGATCCTCTTGTTGATGTTGAAGCACGTCTTCAGCGGAATGCTCCTTTTGGGCGCCTGCCCCGCGTTGAATTTCTTCTCGGTGTCGTAGTATTCGAGCCTGGCGGAACACTCGGGGGTCTCGGCCCTCAAAACGAACCACTTCTTGCGTGAGGTTTTTAGTTTTTTGAGGAAGCCAGAGCGGAGTACCTCACCCCCGCGATTGTTGCCAACACTTTTAACGGACATTGTCACGTGTACGTACTCGCGATAATTGCACTATGCAACATGCTCCAAGGGCACACCGTCAACTTTCTTCGTGCGCATTACCCGAACGCGTATTTTATAGGTCAACGAAAGGTGTGCGTGTATGGCACCCCCAAACAAACCAACGTTTATGTCTGTTGTGGCGCACTTTGCGTAAACACTTACTGGATGCACTGCACTATCACCGAACACGGCTTACTTAGCGAATTGTCAACAATTAACGACGGATTTCAACTGTGTGAAGATCACTCTACCACTCATGTGGCTGTGTTTCCGTATTGTAGACGTCTGCTCTGCTGCCGTTGCACTAAATGTTTGGCTGCCAAAATACTCACGACGCTGCGTCTCTGTCCGATACGTTCGCGCGACGGATTCTCTCTCTTTTCGAGTGGCGTTTCTGACGAAGCGGCCGAGCGTAACTTATAAACAATCCGTGCGCATGTGCAAATCGTAGTATTCAATAACGAGGCGTAGTTGGCGGAGTTGCGTGCAGGACGGAATGTAGGCGCGGATTTTCAACATAGAGGGAGAGATAGAAAATAGGTAATTATTCCATCTATAATTTCCGTTATGGTAAAAAAGTTAAAAAATGCAGCTGAAAGAGCTAGTGGAGTATGGAGGAGGTCATCCTAAGCTCTGATTGATTCCCCAGTTACTCGATGAAGATCCGTAGTAATTTCATGAACTACACTTTACGACTTGATCTTCACAAACTTTATTTTCGAAAACTATATCAAATGTTTCGCTATCACAGTAGCTCTTTCGTAAGGAAAATAACCTGTGATAGCGAAACATGAGAGAGAAAGGGAGAATATACTTTATTGTTATATGAGTAATCTTGTGGACAAAGTTTCACCTAATCTATAATACAGTTTTTATGTAAAAACAAAGTACATTTACATTGATCAACTTTCACTTAATACATAAAATCAGTTTGTGTATAAAAAAACATATAAGTCAATGGAAACACACTGTTTCCATTATAAAGAGAGAAATCAGTGTTAGAATTCCATGAATCATAAAGAGTAATCTACAAGAGTGTGTACTTTTTTATTTGCACATATATCTTACGACTCGTTTTTGCAAAATTAAAATATTTTGTAGTAGATAACCATTACATACGCCCCAAAATGGAATTCCATATCTCAGGTGAGATACCATCAGAGAGCAGTCTTAGCTGCTGTTAAACCAATTTCATTTGCGAGTACTCTGACTGCATGACAACCAGATGACACTTTATTACCCAAGGCATAAATATGGTCTTCAAATTTTAATTTTCTATCGATATGTACTCCTAAAAATTTAAACTTTTGTTCTCAATGATGTCATTCCCAATGGGTATATTGTCAAATTCACATCTAAAAGTTACTATGTTAATTTCCGAAATATTTAGAGACAGGCGATTTGAATCACACCAACTCTTTACTTTTATGATTTCAGTTAAATCATTTGCATTGTCCGATTGCCAAAAAATGATAGTATCGTCTGCAAATAGTGTGAATTTTCCTGAGATATTTATACTTGTCAAATCTTTGAGGTAGATGAGAAACAATGTTAGCCCTAGTATTGAACCTTGAGGCACATCATTACGTATTTTCCCAATTTCTGAGCGATGGGTTGTTTCATGATCCACACGGTCCAAAGCCTTCGAAAACTCGCAAAATACTGCTGCAGCTACCTCGCCACTATTGATTCCAATATAAACTTTTTCTATGAGTGAGAAAATTGCATCACTAGTGCCTTTGCCACTTTGAAATTAAAATGTCTATCATAAGCCTCTAATCTGAAAACAAAATTGAACCTTAAAACTTGCATGTTTTTGAGGTTCATTGATTATCAGTGAAAAAAACACAAAATACGTTTTATTTTTTCATTAATTTATTTCTTGGGAGCAAATTGGATGCAAAAAACTGTCTTTATAATGAGAGAGTTGTTCAAAAATGCAAAATTATGAACCTTTCCACTAGATCAGTTTTCTTCCCTCTTAGGGTTGCACCTCTTCTCTGCAACTCCTCCTTCAACTGAGCGATACGCCATGTAGAATACATCTTGAATTGCAAGCAATTTAAATAAGAAACTTTCAAATAAATCAATAAATAACGGTTGAAACTTTGGCAGCTAATGACCAATGTGACAAACAGTCAGCGCACTCTGCCGGATGAGTTTCCCGTAATCATCCCCATTAATGACAACTAATTGGACTAGCTTCAACAAAATGGCTGTTATCAATCGTCAGAGTTCGGAAGGTCCCTGTTTTGAAAATGGAAGCAACTACTTTTCGAAACGTTGTAGTCTTTTTGAAAAAAGCCAAGTATTAAAAGATCGCTCATCATAAGTTTCCAATACAAGATCCAAAGGTACAACCGCAAAGATTTTGGGTGACACCCAAAACACTAATATCTCTAATTGATATATCCGGTCTTTGATTCGGAATTGTTACGGTTCGTAAACCGAAATATCTGTTCGCATTTGTCTACTGCGCATTTTCCTCTTCAAACTCAAAGTCCACATTTAGACGCAATAGCTCCTCGGCCTGTAACGAAGACCGCCCAGCGACTAAAGAAACCGAATCAAAACAAAAGCGCCCTGCTTGTTCCAATCCCACCGCTCGTCGATGGTCGATATTACAACGAAACAAACAAATCCGTAAGAAATAAACAAAATAATTATGTCTTGTGGTGAAGCAGAGCGACGGGCAAGGTGCCTCTATGTTCGATCGACGAGGGCCAGTGACCTTGCGCTTTACGGCCATTTAATTCTAAAAATGGACGAAATTAGAGGTGTATTGCACAACCGGCGAGTTAGAAGATTCGCCCGAAGTCGCTGGTGGATGAAGAGCAACGCCCTTTCGGCATCGCAGACGTCTGGCGGGAAACGGTCGCGAGAAGAATGTGTGTACAGGGTGTGCCGAAAGAATTGCGCCGAGACGCGGTAGTATCGATCGGTTTTCTGGAAAATAGGCCGCATCGACAGTTGGCTAGTTGACCCGATTAGAGGGAATTTCATCGGAGCGTGTGATGCGGCGTGTCTGGCTCGTGGCGAAGTTTTTGAAGGGGGTAACGTTGACGTTTTTCCAGCGAGTTTTTGTGGCGGTTTTCTTGGCAGGCCGGGTTTACTTACCTGTGTACTTTGTTTTAGATGAAAAAGAAAATTACTTCGGGATATTTTCGTTTTCAAAAACAATAAATTAGTGAACATGATAGGTATAGTCTATCCATTCCCAATTGGAACGGCAATAAAAATAAGAGCACTACGAGGGGTGTTCATAATCACTGCCCGGCAAATGGGAAATGTTTATACTACCAGTGCTTTTATGTTCAAAGCGTCCCTGGTACAGTCATAAACATTTCTGGCCTGTGGCCCCTAGTCGCCCAGATAGTTAGTAAACGTGCTATCAAATGTAGTTGAGGAATAAAGGCTCGGCTAGCTGGACTGGCTGAATACTAATTTTTTGCCCGTTTCACAATATTTTTCTATCAGTGCTGTGTGTTCGTGCGGTTAGGTGAGGTAGTGAGTGGTTTTGCAAACCGGTTTTTGAAAACTTTTTCTGGAGATCAATTACCCTAACACCAAACTGATATTTTTGCACTCGACGCGCGTTTCGCTAACAAGGTTAGCATCTTCAGGAGAAGCAAATTGATAATGAATCTAAAGACAAGGGTTAACTGTTTATATACTTAAAGTTTTTTGGTCCCTACGTTAAATGTGTGTGGAAATGTGTTGTTGTGAAATTGGCCGCGGTGGTAGTGCTCCCGACTCATGATCGGAAGACCGTGGGTTCGATTCCTGCCTCGACCAGATATTTTTCTCGAGATAATTTATCGGGTTGAAATTGGGATGATTCTGCAACCGTGTTAGGAATCACACGTTAAAAGGTAAGACCTCGTTAGTCCTTAGCTCGCACAAGTTTCTCAACTTCTGAGAGTTGTCGTTCGTATGGGGGCGACAGCTGATTAACGGAAAAACAGATTTTTTTTTAATGATGATAATTCTAATTGATTTTTCGGTAATTAACCAGTGGAACCACTACCTGCAAATTAATTTGTCCGCTTTTCAATCTATTGTTGACAAATCAATTTGCAGGTAGTGGTTCCACTAGTTAATTACCGAAAAATCATTTAGGATAATCATCATTTAACAAAGTCCACATCGGACCAAAAAACTTTAGATATATAAACAGCTAACCCTTGTCTTTAGATTCAGTATCAATTTGCTTCTCCTGAAAATGTTAACCTTGTTACCGAAACGCGCGTCGAGTGCAAAAATATCAGTTTGGTATTAGGGTAATTGATCTCTAGAAAGAGTTTTCAAAAATCGGTTTGAAAAACCACTCACTACCTCACCTAACCCCACGAACACACGGCACTGATAAAGAAATATTGTGAAACGGACAAAAAATTTGTGCCAGTCCAGCTAGCCGAGCCTTTATTCCTCAACTACGTTTGATAGCACGTTTACTAACTATCTGGGCGACTAGGGGCTAGAAGAAGCTACTTTATTGAGAAACCTTGACGATTTAGGTATAGGGACATGATATATCATCTTGAAGCATTTTTCACCATCTTTCAATTTACCGAGTAATATACAGGGGGTTTCATTTGAAAAAATGAACTTTTGACTACTCTTATGCACAATGGAAACAATAGTAACTTTAGCACGCCCTGTAAGATATGGAGTCGATTTCTTGATGTTATTTGAATATTTCGAGTTTGTCCAAACTATCAACAAAATATCAACTTTTCATGAATTGAGAGTACTGATGTACTTAATTTCAATTAAGGCTATGTTTTGGACCATATTTAGCACAATTTATTTTTTATCTCGAAAACAGATAGAGATAGGTATAGGACATCATTAACAAAAAAGTATTAAAATACCAGAGCGACTCCAAAAATGTATTAATATACGGGGTGTTCTATTTAAAAAAATAAAGTTGCTAGGACTTTTTGATGGAAGTGGCAACGCCGCAATGCTGAAAATATTTTAGATCGATAGAACAGGTAATGAATGTGAGAGGTGAAATTTTCAGAAAAATCATGCTTTGCGTTTTCCAGAAACGTCTAACCTACCATCGACCGTGAGTCACGCTGTATATATGGAGTGGTTTGAAACTCTGGCATTGAAGAAGCCCATAAGAAACCTCGAGTCTGGTTGAGATATTTGTGACGTACTGTTTGGAACCTTTGGTGTAGTAATGAATATTACTGGAGTTTTTTCCCATCACCAAATCGTTATTTTTACACCTCGACACGTGTTTCGATCTCCAAGTGATCATCTTCAAGAGGAAGATCCACCATCAATCAACTAAAAAAAGAATCATCAAGACTCTATTAGACCCTGCTTTCGGGCTCTGTAATACGAAGGAAGGTCTCGAGAAGGAACTAGACATCATCAAAAATGATCCTCAACGGAATGAATACTCCAAAGCGATGGTAGAAAAGACTTTGGCTAAAAGACAGCAGGAGCCTCGCAAGGAAGAGAACCCGCCACAACCAGTGCTTGCACTTCCCTACGGCATAGGACTATCGGAGAGGATAAGAAGAATTGGTTCCAAGTACAACATTAGAACCTGCTTCAGATCCGTATACACTATCCGTAGCAGCCTCATGAAAACCAGGCCATCAAACGCGGACTGCGATTCCAAGAATTGCATTTACCGGATACCCTGTGAGTGCGGAAAATCCTATATTAGTGAAACTAAGAGGCCATTAAATGTTCGCATTGCCGAGCACAAGAAACACACACAGCGAGGAGCAACCAGCAAATCAGGAATAGTAGACCATGTTTGGACCCACCAACACAACATCGAGTGGTCCCAAGCTGAGATCTTGCACAGAGAGGAACATTGGTTTAGGAGAAAATTCAAGGAAGCCGCATACATGTTGTCCAACAACATATTCAGTCAAGCTAGCGTAGAGATACGCATCATCAAGCAAAAATTGGCTAACTCCCGCCAAACGATCATCTCCCACTAAACCAGTGAAGCGGAAAATGGAAAGCGGGGATAAGTGGAAGTACTCGAACGACCCATAAATAGTCATCTCTCGGAGGAATCAGTCCAGTCATCACCCGAAGACGATTGTAGATTCCAACAATCGAAACGTCGTGAACTAACGTGGCTTGAAATCTCTTAATTTTGTATTTTTATTTTCTTTTTTCATTTCTTTATTTTTATTTAATTTTTGTTCAGTTGGTCTATTTTTACTTGTATTTTATTTCACTGTTATTCCATTTCAGGATTTTGCTTGGTATAATTTTTATTTTCAGCTATTCATTTTTTAATCCTTCTCTTTTAGGTGTCTCAAGGATTTCTAATCATTTTATATATCAGACAATGGAAGTCCGAACTAGTGAAATTTTACATTTTTGTTATAACAATGTTTAATTTTCTACTTTCAGTCTTCCAATCCTGTTTTGAATAATAATAATGGTGTTTTTTGATTAATTCATTTGAGTCCCTTCGAACGTTCATAAATCATTTGCGAAGTCTCACTACCTACGCAGGTTCTTGCGAATTCCTGGGTCTTACAGTCCAATCTCGCGAATACCGGTATTGAACACTTCTTCCGGAATTGCATTCTCTACTCGTAATGATAAAAATACACCAAAAATTGGTGGTGTATTGCACAACCGGCGAGGTAGAAGATTCGCACGAAGTCGCTGGTGGATGAAGAGCAACGCCCTTTCGGCATCGCAGACGTCTGGCGGGAAACGGTCGCGAGAAGAATTTGTATACAGGGAGTGCCGAAAGAGTTACAAACTGCAATGAATATTATATATCTCATTCAGTTATTTGAAAATTGTAACGTTCTAAATTGTAACATAGGCGAGACTTTTCGAATTGCGTTTCCTAATATAAGTTACAAGTTTTTATTTAACTGGATCAGTTGGTATGTTAGTTAGCCTAGCCACACTACCCTAGAAGATAACGGAGCTGCTTTATGGAATTGACCTTTACTTGATAAAATTTCGTAACCTATTCAAGTAACACTATGTGAGATTGTTAATGAACTGTTTACAAAACCGCAAACACGTGTTTCGCTATACAGTAGCTTCCTCAAGCGTTTTCATTCAGTAAGGCTGTTTACTTGTTCTTTACTTTGCCTTAAATTGAGGATGAAATTATATTAGGAATAATTTTTGCATGTATACTGATCTATATTATATATTTTCAATAGAATATCAAAAACTAATAACTCTCAACATAAAAAATTTCTTCCTTTCAAACCCCTACTTTATTCTTTTCATTTTGCGTTAAAAATTATGACTGTAAGTGAATATTTTTCCATATATCACTGATTTTTTCAATCAGTGATGTTTGTCGATCCCCCGTTATATTTCTGTTTATCTCCAATCGGCCAATCTCCCGTAAAATTCCCGTTAATTCCTTATTATATCCTATTCAATCCCCTGTTACATTCTTGCCAATCCCCCGTTAAATTTCTGTCAATCCCCTGTTATATTCTAGTCAATCCCCTGTTATAATTCTGTCAACCCCCTGTTATATTTCTGTCTATCTCCTGTTATATTCCTTCCACTCCCCCGTGAAATACCTGCCAATCCTCCGTTAAATTTCTCTCAATCCCCTGTTATATTCTTGTCAATCTTCAATTACATTCCTCTTAATATCCTGTAATATTGGTGCCAAGCCCCCGTTAAATTTCTGTCAATCCCTTGTCAATTCTTGTCAATCCCACGTTATATTCCTGCTAATCTCTCGTAAAATTCCTGTCAATCCCCTATTATATTCTAGTCAATCCTCCGTTATATTCCTGCCAATCCCCCGGTCAATTCCTGTCAATTCCCTGTTAAATTCCTGTCAATCCCCGTTTATATTCTTGTCAATCCCACATTACATTCCTGTCAATCCCCTGTGAAATTCCTGCCAATCCCGCGTTGAGTTTCAATTAATCCCTTGTTGTATTCTCGTCAATCCCCCGTTATATTTCTGTCAGCCCCCTGTTATATTCCTGCTAACCCCTTGTCAAATTTATATCAACCCCAGTTATATTCTTGTCAATCCTCCTTTAAATTTCTGTCAATATCCTGTTATATTTCTGCCAATCCCCTGTACAATTTCTGTCAATCCCCTGTTATATTCTAGTCAATCCCCTGTTATAATTCTGTCAACCCCCTGTTATATTTCTGTCTATCTTCTGTTATATCCCCACCAATCCCCGGTGAAATTCCTGCCAATCCTCCGTTAAATTTATCTCAATCCCCTGTTATATTCTTGTCAATCTTCAATTACATTCCTTTTAATATCCTGTAATATTCCTGCCAAATCCCCGTTGAATTTCTGTCAATTCCCTATTATATTCTAGTCAATCCCCTGTTAAATTTATGTCAATCCCCTGTTATATTCTAGTCAATCCCCTTTTATAATTCTGTTAATCCCCTGTTATAATTCTGTCAATCCCCTGTTATATTTCTGTCTATCTTCTGTTATATTCCTTCCACTCCCCCGTGAAATACCTGCCAATCCTCCGTTAAATTTCTCTCAATCCCCTGTTATATTCTTGTCAATCTTCAATTCCTCTTAATATCCTGTAATATTGGTACCAAGCCCCTGTTAAATTTCTGTCAATCCCTTGTCAATTCTTGTCAATCCCACGTTATATTCCTGCTAATTTCTCGTGAAATTCCTGTCAATCCCCTATTATATTCTAGTCAATCCTCCGTTATATTCCTGCCAATCTCCCGGTCAATTCCTGTCAATCCTCTGTTAAATTCCTCTCAGTACCCCGTTGAATTTATTTCAATCCCCTTTTATAACCCCGTTATATTTCTGTCAGCCCCCTGTTATATTCCTGCTAACCCCTTGTCAAATTTATATCAACCCCAGTTATATTCTTGTCAATCCTCCTTTATATTTCTGTCAATATCCTGTTATATTTCTGCCAATCCCCTGTTCAATTTCTGTCATTCCCCTGTTATATTTTTGTCAATCCCCCGTTACATTTCAATCAATCCTCTGTTATATTTTTGTCAATCCCTTGTTTTATTAGCCAGGTTAGTTTTCTCACAAACTCTCGACAAACCCATAGAATATTTTAAAAGAAACCCACTATACTTATTACAATAACATTTATTTTATAAGACTACTTGCACAATACACTATACAACTATGAACAATTGAGAAACAATCGAAAATGACAGTTACATCAACTTATATCCCTTAAATATTGAAACTCAAAACGCACTATAAATTGAAATAAATTGAATAGTCATTAACACATTACCTTATAAGCAAACATCAGCTAATGAACAAGGAAAAACAAAAAGAACTAGTGAAGTAAACCCTACTTTTTTAAACGAGGTACTGCGAATTGTTGAAAAGCATGGAAATCAATGGACCTGAATTGACCTTGTTGAAACTCCTGAAAAAAAAAATAAAACTGTCAGATCATTTTCTATCCAATTAAAACAATCCTTATTTTGGTGTGTAGGCTTTTACGGCTGGCGTCAACAAATTGCTCGATGCCAGTTAGATGATGTTAGTGACCCAAACCGTTATATTCATAATCCAACTATAGCGCTCTTTCGATCTGCCGTAGATCTCCTCTGTCGTATTGGTACAGTACACAGCACCAGTGGACAGCAGTTTTCATCAATTCAAGAAGGTGATAAAGCCATATTCCAAAATCATGTTTTATAGATATCAACAACGCATGCAATGTATCTGCCTTGAAAGTGGTCATCTTAAGAAACAATCGAAAAATTCTTCGGCCCTCACGGCTGAAGTACCAAACGTTTCAGATGCTAGGACGGAGGTTACCTCTCAACAATGACTGAGTTGCTGACGTCGGTTATTGCTGATAGTGTCTGTCGCAGTATCAGAAGAAATATTTGGTACTACGTTTCCTTTGACCACGGCCTATACGAGTCCAGATTTGTGTCTCTCCAACGGTGACTTTCGTATTTGTACAGTTGGTACCAGGCGGAATTGACTGCGTTGGAATTTTAACTACAGGCAAGTATGACATTACACCAAGTGACACAGTGCCGATGACATAAAATGGGATTATCCATCTGTTATATTCGATGAAAAGTGGAGGGATTATATTGAATACATTATAAAAAAAAGTAAACAAACAAAAAATGGCTATTACTCACTTTGTCTCCGCGTCATATATATCAAAGAACTTTAGTTTATCCAAAATTATTTTCTTGTCCGATTGGTCGATTGAATTCATGAGTTCTTCTGGTAGTTCACTGTCGTTTTCCAGGAAATACACGATTAATCTGAAAAAAATAGTAGATAAAATCCCGTAACGTAACCGCGAACATGAAACGTTAAGGCTAGTGGAAATGGAGGACTGTTGCATTTCATTCGTACCAATCGACACGTACATCCTTAGGCCTATATCCATTCGTGAAAATTACCCATAACGTCATCGCGAGCACGTTCCGTTACGGCTAGCGGAGACAGAGTATCTGTTGCATTTTATCCGTACATGTTGAAACGTGTACCCGTAAAGGCGCATATTCATTTGTAACAAGTGACCCGTAACGTAACCGCGAAAATGAAACGTTACGGCTAGTGGTAATGGAGTACTGTTGCATTTTATCTGTACCACTTTGACATGCGTAACCGTACCGACCGAACCACCATTTGTCGGTTTTTGGTCGTCGCATCAAAGATTGTTAGTTTTGCACGTCGACAAGATGGGGCAAGTATAATATGTATGGGGTGTCTCAACCTGTTGTGAAGGTGAAAGTCGCAGTCGATCGGAGAAGACCAGCGTCAGTCGGCGTCATTTCTTTCAGGGGATAATTTACAACACTATTATTCCGTAACGTAACCGAACGACGTTACGTTACTCAACGCCTAATCGTTCCAAGTTATCGCCATGCGTAACGCAACACTCTTTGATGCAATGAAAAACAAATGGTGCGTAAAGTGGTGCGTATGAAATTCAACAGCCGTAACGCCATATATTCGCGGTTGCATTACGAGTCTTGTTACAAATTGATATGCGCCTCAACAGATCTACTCATAGGTCACCGTCGTCCGATTCATCATACGAAGAGACGTCCGCTCTAAGAAGATGAAGCGTGTCGCTTCTGACTGGATGAAAGAGTAGAGTACAAACATGGTGTCTGCCCCGCCGCAAACCGAATCAGATTCTCAGTGTTCGGCTTTGTTAAGAAGCAGGACTTATTTGGACAATCACTTTGGACCTAACCTATAACCTAACTTCATTTTAAAAACATTTTGCTGCTGAGTCCGCCCTTTGCCACTGTAACAATCGTATCATAAGTTACATCTCTCACTAACTAACCTCATTTTGATGATAATCGGCCTTTCTTTCATGTCAAACTTGGGCAGCAATCTGTCGGTGGTCGTGGCGATGCCGCATCGAATGCAGGAAAAGTTGACGTCTGCCATTCTCTTGTTTTTGTAGCCGTGGCAGGGGGCGTGGTACTTTTTGACGCATTTGATGCACCGGATGATGTCTACTTTAGCGAAAGTAATGGTGAGCTCGCAGAGGCAGTTGATGTCGTTATTCAATGCGCCAGCTTCCGAGTCATCGTTGCTCATCATCGAAGAGTCCTGTTCGACATGTACTGGAAAAATGTTCAGAATATTTAGTGACATTTTATTTTTGTTAAAGAAGGTATAACAACTTTTGCATTCTTGTTTCTAGCCTTCGTTAGCGCACAACTCTATCATCCCTTCATTTCTTCACATGTCTGCATGTTGGAAAATTACAGACTTCCCTCGGCCACTTGCACATGTGATTTTGTTTCAGATATTTTCAGTTTTCTTTAAATAATGTTTGTAAGATTCACTCTCATTAAAACAGTTCATGAAAATTGGGATTTTTAAAAGGAGAAGCGACCGAAGTGAGGAAAGTGAATTATTATAGCGAATACCCTGTATATAATGGCCATGTTACGATTGCGCATGGCTGGTGTAAACCTCTAAGTAGGAATGGGTCAATTAAGGATGAGCCTATGGTGAGAAGCGCTTAATGCGCAACCTTTGCTGCAGGCAACCAGTGATGCAACAGAGCACAGTCAGATGCTACAAATGCAATACGCATATATGTATAGAGACGGCTCAAAAGTCAAAGAAGGCTCAGGATGTGGAGTGTACTCCAGATTACTAAGCCTAAGGAGTATGTGGGGAAAAAATACCAGCGTGTTCCAATAGCCTGGCTGGTATCTCAATAGCCACAAAAGAAATAACCAGGAAAGGACTTTCTAGCAAAAACATAACAATCTGCTCTGACAGCAGACAAGCCCTATCAGCCTTGAACAGACAACGTGTTACCTCAGGGCTAGTACTAGAGTGCCACCGAGATTTAGCCAAAGCCTCGATAGATAATAACATTATCCTGAGGTGGGTTAAAGGGCACGACAGGAGTAAAGGTGATCGCATTGCCAACTCTTTAGCCAAGTAAGTGGCTGGAATAAGAATTTTAGGACCCAGTGGCACCCATGCTCAATCCCTAAAGAGATGGGATAGAATTAAAGGATGCAATTTTGTCAGGATCACCCTGACAAAATTGCATCCGAAGAAATATCTGGCGATGACCAGGAAAAATCTACGCTTAACAGTAGGATTTCTGACTGGCCACTGTCAACTAAGGAAACACATACATAATATGGGGCTAGTGGACACACCTCTATGCAGGATGTGTGAACAGGAAGATGAGACTTAAGGCATGACCTAGCGAGTGCCCGGAGTGCCCGTCAATAATAATGTGTGTTTTCGGTGTGTTTTCGGCGTCCTGAAAATGACAGGATGGACGATGACCTAGGAGGACAACTCCTCGGGAGGAGTTGGCCTAAGTGCTGTGGACTTACACTCACCCTCCTTACTCTACAGAGATACAGATACCCTGTATATGTTTAAAACGAAAGAAAAGATAATTATAAAGGGAGACGAAGTTACAGAATTTTTGTTGGAGGTTGTCTCATTACTGTTATTTTTTCCGCAATGGGAGCGCCGGTACTACGGAGGACACGCTGGCAAAATTACCCAATGATGACTCCCCCACGCTGTAAGGTGAATGTCCGAGAATCATGTGCTCTGAGTCAAAATGACAGCCTTCTGCATCTGTACGGGTAAGATTTCTGCTTTAGAGCGGCAAACTGGTATGATCTTCGAGATTCGAGAGTAGAGCGGATATCATTTCACCAAGGACTCTAACAATTTGAACAACAATTCAAATAGAATGGTATGGGTGAGGCCTACAGGAATGGAAGAAAAAATCTTGATGTTCTATCGGTTTTTTTTTTTTTTCGGACAATATTCGCCCAAAGGAAGGGGCAAATGTCCAGGGACCGGCTCAGGTAAAAAATCTTAGCCACCACGGGTCGGCAGTCATAGCAACCGTCCTGTCACTGTCATAGAGCCTTGACCTTCATTAGCCTAGTTTAGTTGTAGTTTTGTTTTGTGAATGTTCATTTCATTGTAGAGGAGGTAAGGGGGCATTGTTGAGACCGAAAGGTGTCGGAATTCGTTTGGGCGGGCCTGCACCCGGAGTTGACAAATCGATGACGAATGTCGTCCTATTACTTTGATGGGCGAGGAGTCTTATTAGCTTGCATCAGCCTGAGGGTAAGAAATGAATTCGGTAGTAGCTCTATATTCACTCACCCGATAATGTAATTTCGCTGATATTGATCTTAGATGCAGGAGATTTCACTGTTTTCTCCACGTTTTCTTCATTTTCATCTGAAAGATATAAAACAACAGAGTGTGTATATCCTGAGTATAGTTTGCTGAGTTGGAAGAGTTACTGTCTTTGGAAACAACAACAAAACAAACTGTGACACATTCTGTTTTTGACAAAATTACATAATTTTCCAAACATTATCAATAAATTTTGTTTTTCATATCTGGAAACAATACGAGATTTGATTGAAAATTAACTGTAAAAAGTCAAGCAGATAATTTTTCCACATTCAGAAACCTTGATGATGTACACTAAGAAATAATTTATGTAGCTCATGTCAAAATTCGTGAACTCACCCAATTTGTCGTTGGAACTTCTGCGAGATGCAGACAAATCAGTTGGCTGATGGGTTGAATCTTCATCGCTGATCTGAAACGAGCCAAAAGTATAATTTCAGAATACACATAACCTAATCTTTACTGGCTGATGTTAAATTAGACTACACTCTTTTTAATTTTTTTTTAAATTAAAGCTTGTTGAAACTACACAATTATAAGGACAATAAACAAGATAATTAACACTAGGGATACATTCACAATGAAAATAGAACTACGCCAAGAATATTAATTACCTTCAACATTAAATAGTGGTATAAAAGCTGAAGGTCATGCCTACACAGACGATACAGCCCTAATGAATAGAATAAGGAAAGGAACTGGAGTCGCTTCAAAAAAATATAAAATCCGATGGATGTGAAAGCGATTTTGAGCCCAATTCATGCAATTTTGTCATCGCTTTCATTGATTTGTGACGAGGTGCATTATCTTTATGAAGCAGTAAGTACAATCTTTTTCTTCAGATGGGGCCGTTTTTCCGCGATTTCGTCATTCGAACGCTCCAATAACGCTATGTAGTAGTCGCTGTTGATGGTTTTTTCGACGGTTTAGACACACAGTGACGTCATCACACCAGTCAGGCTGCCTCTCAGCTCGCCATACAAGGCAGACAGACCACCCATTCAACCAGACTGTACCAAATTGTCACATGGTGTCCAGTCACCCAGTTAGCTAGGCGGTGAACCAATCAGAGTGTACCAAATTGTCACGTAGCGTCCTCAAACTGTCACGCAACTCGCCAGCTAATCAGAGCGCACGCTTCTGCATTTCAGAACATCGTGGCGGGAGATTTGAATTTTCCGTGGACATAAATCATATGGATTCAATATTAATAGCGCCATCTGTGTGTTAGCCTACCAACTTTCCAGAACATCTAATAGATATGGAATTGGCAAACAATATATATGTTTGATGAAAAGTGAATCATTTTGAATATTTGAGAGTTACCTTATAGAAGAGAAACAAAGAAGCACAGCCATTGGAACATTGAATAAAATGATGAAACGATAATCAGAGAACACAGGAAAATCATCGCAACAGCTGTTCTCCATGAAAAAACTGATAGGGGGGGATATTTAGAAAGGTACTAGTAGGAGCGCAAGAGACTGACAGACAATGAGGAAGGACAAACAAATCTGACATAAGCAGACTGTTGTCTGTACTCTCACATTACACAACTAGTCTAAGCATGAAGAATATATACTTGTTGTAACATGTCAACGGGTTCTTGCAAAATGTCACCTAAAAAGGGCTTCTGGAAGGTGAAAAAAGCAAAGAAAGACCAATAAAGAGGTAATTAGCTGAAATCAGAACAAACCTGAGGTAACTGAAGATTTGGAACTAGAAGAAAAAACAAAAAACATGAAAATGAGTCAGACAAAAAAGGCGTGTTAATAGGAGAAAGAAAGAAAATAAAGACCAAAAAGGATATGGCCGCTGAAATCAGAACATATTTGAAACAAAGAAGATTCAGAAGTAGAAAGATTAGAACGAAAGACATGAAAAAAGTGATATCATTGTTAGGCATATCCAAGTCATGGTATGGTACTGGCCAAATTGGAAACTTGCAAAATAACAAGAAAAGACAAAAGACTTGCAAACAGTAGAGAGGACAACGATGAGATTGGAATCTTTGGTGTGAAAGTTGAATAACTTTTTTCGAGATCAATTGCCCTAACACCAAACTGATATTTTTGCACTCGACGCGCGTTTCGCCAACAAAGTTAGCATCCTCAGGAGAAGAAAATTGATAACTAGTCCAGTCTGGTTGGTCCTTATATACTAAAATTTGTTACCTGAGGTTGTATACCTGAAGTCCAATATGGAATTTCTCGGTAATTTATCTCGAAAAAAGTTATTCAGTAGAGAGGACATTGTAAGGCATATCAAAGGCATGGACCTCATAGGCCTACAGTACTGGAAGATCCAAAAAGAAATGGCTGCATGAAATGAGAACAGACACGAAATAAACAACTGAAGATTACTTACCAGCGCACCATGCACCCTACAAGTAATCTTATGGAATCCCGTATTCACCGTCCCGAGCTGTCTTTTGGCGACAGGAATTTTTATACATTCTGGTTGGACCGCTGCTGAGAACCCTGGTGGTTGGTATTCACGAGGAGTAACTGAAAACAAAAATGTTCAAGAAGGAAGAAATGTTAACTCTAGAAAGTTACTAGTCACTAATACTTACCAGGGTGATATGTGAATTCTATTGTAAGTCGTGTGTTCTCCAGTTTCTCGTTTTTCCCCAAATCGCGAATAGCCTGCAATAAGTCTGTGGTTTCTTTTTGAACATGCACCAAAGTTCTTTTGTTTTCGGCATTCGGGTCTCTGTTGTATTTTAACTTGAAATTGTAAGTTTCAGACACGTCACCTGCGGAGTTTCTCATGAATAAGAATATCTCTTTCAGCTGAAAAATAGCAAAATCCAGATACAGATCATCAAATGTGAAACAATCTTACGTAGTTGTTTTCTATAGCATGTTCAATACCATTTAACCACGAAATGTACAAATTTATCAAATGATGTTTTGGTTTTTTTGGGTTTTTTAGAACAATGAAGGGAACTCCCTTGAAGTTCCTGGTCTTCAATTCGGATTCTTCCAGCTCCAATCTTTGGTAGATTATGTTCAAAATGCAGCATCTTACCATTTTTTGGGTGTATCGCTTCGAAAGAGTGACTGAAGTAACACTCTTTGCGATGAGGCTACCGGTCTGAAACATATTTTCTGTGTATCATCATCAATTGCACAAGAATAATTTTAAAAATCCAAAAATTGCAAACTCATACATTTATTGATCCATAAACAGGGTGAGACGACGTCAACATTTACTTATTTATTTACCAATATAGGGGTTACAAACAGATTAACAAATCCAATAGAGAATCCACTTTATAATTTTAGTTCAAGTAGGCTTCGAGAAAAAAGAATTTAATTTCAATTTTTTGTAAATTACATTGGACAATCAAAGAATAACATAATTCTTATAAGAGTGACAGTCTAAAGAGATTTCAAAATATTGAATATCATTGCAAATTTCGTTAAAGGTTTCAAGCATTCTATAAAGTGGTGTATTTTGAGCAGCATTTGTCCTTGTGCAAGTTAACTTAAAGAACTCTGTACGCCTCAACGTTCTACCTGAACATTGAACTCGATTTTAGAATAAATCTCTGGGCAGTGGACTAATCCTTTCATCAACTTGAAAATCATGATAAGATCCGTAACAGTTCTTCTATCCTTCATAGACATAAAATTGTATTGGCGCATAATGGGACTGTAATCGCTATTCGTAATTGGAAAATTCAATTTATGACTAATGAAGCGAAGAAGTTTGTTTTGGACTTTCTCAATGCTATCTATGTTTATGTGATACTGATGATTCCAAACAACCGATTCAAAGCAGAGCCTACTATGTACATATGCATAATATAAACTGAGGAGAGGTTTTGCCGTTCTGAAATTTTGACAGTTCCTTTTGAGGAATCCAATAATACTATTACATTTATTGACGGTCTTTTCTATATGTGAATTAAATGACAACTTCGAGTCCATAATTATTCCCAAGTCTTTAACTTCTGAAACTGATTTCAGTTCGTGATTTTCAAAGTAATAATTATTTCTGATTATATTTTTGTTCCTGGAGAATGAGATTGACACGCATTTTTGTGGATTGAGAAACAAATCGTTATCATTACAGAATTTTTTGAGCCGCTTCAAATCCTCCTGAATTTCTCCGCTGTCATATGAATTCTTTACTGTATGATAGATTTTCAAGTCATCGGCATACAGTAAAAATTTACACTTATTAAAGCAGCTAGAGATTTCGTTGATGTATATAATGATAAATAAAGGACCCAAATGGCTGCCTTGAGGAACTCCGGAGAATACCGTGGTTGGTAAAACGCGCATCGAGAACAGTATTGCAGTTATGGTAATTGTTTTGGATTTATTCTTCGCCAGAGGTTTCAGTTTCACCTTTTATAAGAGATGCTTTCATTCTCTAAACAACGATGTCCAGATTTGAATCACATTCACCCACAAGTGTGTTATCAAATAAATATAATATACCATTTACATAAACCAGATAGAACAATGGCCCCAAAATAGACCCCTCCGGTATTCCACAATAGGTATATACATAATTGTTCTAGATGAACGAAATTGAACAAAAAAATCTATTCAGTCCTTAAGAAGTGTGTTTCAATGGCGTGATCAAAATAGAAACAATCTTTGATGTTGCTTCGTTAAGTGAATCCTTTGAAACTTTATCAGAAGACATTATGAAGACGTTATAAAATCATATTTTGTATATTTTCGACTGGTACCATCAAATATCACAGACATGGGTTCAAAAAATAAGGCGAATGTTCAAATTTCGCAAGCTACATAAATTCAATTAGCGTCATTACTTGTTCGTAATTTTTTGGTCGAAAACAACACCTCAGCCACTGTATTCACCAGATTTGGCCCTCTGTGACTTTTTGTTGTTCCCAAGACAGAAGAGACCAATGAAAAGACGGCGTTTTGCGACGGTTGAGAAGGTAAAAGCCGAATCTCTGAGGGAGCTCAAGGACATACCAAAACGTGCATACCAGAACTGTATCGAGGATTGGAAAAAACGCTGGCACAAGTGTATTATTTCTAAAGAAGGACTATTCTGGATGGGACATAATAAAAATTGACGAATAAATGAATATTTTTGAAGAAAAATCAAAAGTCACCTTATTTTTTGAACATACCTCGTATGCTGTTGTATTGTGCTGCTGTATTCTGCTGTTGTATCATCTCTAGATGATCTTTGCATGGCTGTGTATCAAAAACAGAATCTTTTAGGAATCCTTTTGCCAATCTAGGTAAAGTGACATTTCTAACATGTCATTAAATCGAAATTTGACGCAGCAAGGAATTAATTATATCCACTATCTTAACACTCGGTATAAAGTCAAAAAATCAATCAACCTTTTCCAATATAGTCAAAATTTGGAAAGAATTCAAATAAAAAAATCTCTACTAACCAATACAAGAGAGTCTGAATGAAAAATTCAAAGTATCAAACATATGAGATAACAGAATTTTCATCATTTTGCTGTTTGAAATAAAGGTATTGTGACATGTAAAAATAAAATATCTATGTGTAGGTTTGTTTGTCTGTATGTTTGACTTGAGAACGGTTCAATAAACCGAAACTGGTAGTAACAAATAAAAATCTTAGTAGAAATTAGACAAGCATTTTTTCCCTATCCTATATCAATCTGTACCTAATGTATCAAAACCTGTTTATTTCTCATTGAGTCAATGTAAATATTCAGAAAGCTATTGAAAATGCTAAAGTACTGAATACTAGTTTATTTTTTCACAACTCCTCAGTAACTGAATTAAATCAGATTACATTACAAGTGAAGCCCAAGTTTGCTCAACATGAAAATTGAATAACTTATGATGTGGCAATTTGAGGTTTTATTTCTTTCCTAAAACAAAGTAACAAGATTATTTTTATTTCTAATCATTCCAGAATATCTTTAATCAGAAACTCATATCACAATCAGTTTAATATATTTAAAAATTTTGGATATTCTATTTGTATGTCACTTACTATAGTGGGCCTTGATGATTGTTCAAGTTTCCTGAGAGGAGCCCAGGACCGATGAATATAAACAACAACTAATCGAGTTTTTATTGCAAGTGCAGTTCAATATAGAAACTTACCAAATCTAGTTGCGTTTGCTGTTTAGTAGCCATTATTTCACAAAAATTAAGAGTTGAACTCCACTGATAAATAATAAATTGAAAACGCTATGCTATCCAACACTAAAACTTACCCAGCGTCAACATTTGAGAAACGCGCCGCGTTGCGCACAATGTTATAAACAGATGAAATCCTCCTCGAAACGTAACGATTGTACACGTTGAAAGGATGGCCAAGTTCTTCAAATTTTATGCTATGTTCGATGCGACAGAAAGTTCGTGACATCACTAACGGTGCTCTTGGATTAAATGAGTTACATTTGAAGTTTTGTAGAAGATACACGGATTAATTTCCCTGCATATAAAAAGAAAATAAATTTATTTATCCTCCCTATATAAAACTGACCTCAGAACACAGTAGGTGTTCTGTGATAGGTATATTACCTTGGGTATGTTTATCTGTGTCCAAGGCATAGAAAGTCGGTTGAATTATGAAAAATGTTTCGTATTTTACAATTTGGAAACTTCCGAATATGTAATACATCAGTTGTCGTCAAAAGGACAAAACTGAAATTGGTAATGGATTTTTGGAGACCCAACCTCTATTTAAAAATATATGAATTGAAAAGATTATCAAATATACAAATGTCTATTGAAACACCTCCATATTATGGGGCTAGTGGACACACCTCTATGCAGGATGTGTGAACAGGAAGATGAGACTTAAGGCATGACCTAGCGAGTGCCCGGAGTGCCCGTCAATAATAATGTGTGTTTTCGGTGTGTTTTCGGCGTCCTGAAAATGACAGGATGGACGATGACCTAGGAGGACAACTCCTCGGGAGGAGTTGGCCTAAGTGCTGTGGACTTACACTCACCCTCCTTACTCTACAGAGATACAGATACCCTGTATATGTTTAAAACGAAAGAAAAGATAATTATAAAGGGAGACGAAGTTACAGAATTTTTGTTGGAGGTTGTCTCATTACTGTTATTTTTTCCGCAATGGGAGCGCCGGTACTACGGAGGACACGCTGGCAAAATTACCCAATGATGACTCCCCCACGCTGTAAGGTGAATGTCCGAGAATCATGTGCTCTGAGTCAAAATGACAGCCTTCTGCATCTGTACGGGTAAGATTTCTGCTTTAGAGCGGCAAACTGGTATGATCTTCGAGATTCGAGAGTAGAGCGGATATCATTTCACCAAGGACTCTAACAATTTGAACAACAATTCAAATAGAATGGTATGGGTGAGGCCTACAGGAATGGAAGAAAAAATCTTGATGTTCTATCGGTTTTTTTTTTTTTTCGGACAATATTCGCCCAAAGGAAGGGGCAAATGTCCAGGGACCGGCTCAGGTAAAAAATCTTAGCCACCACGGGTCGGCAGTCATAGCAACCGTCCTGTCACTGTCATAGAGCCTTGACCTTCATTAGCCTAGTTTAGTTGTAGTTTTGTTTTGTGAATGTTCATTTCATTGTAGAGGAGGTAAGGGGGCATTGTTGAGACCGAAAGGTGTCGGAATTCGTTTGGGCGGGCCTGCACCCGGAGTTGACAAATCGATGACGAATGTCGTCCTATTACTTTGATGGGCGAGGAGTCTTATTAGCTTGCATCAGCCTGAGGGTAAGAAATGAATTCGGTAGTAGCTCTATATTCACTCACCCGATAATGTAATTTCGCTGATATTGATCTTAGATGCAGGAGATTTCACTGTTTTCTCCACGTTTTCTTCATTTTCATCTGAAAGATATAAAACAACAGAGTGTGTATATCCTGAGTATAGTTTGCTGAGTTGGAAGAGTTACTGTCTTTGGAAACAACAACAAAACAAACTGTGACACATTCTGTTTTTGACAAAATTACATAATTTTCCAAACATTATCAATAAATTTTGTTTTTCATATCTGGAAACAATACGAGATTTGATTGAAAATTAACTGTAAAAAGTCAAGCAGATAATTTTTCCACATTCAGAAACCTTGATGATGTACACTAAGAAATAATTTATGTAGCTCATGTCAAAATTCGTGAACTCACCCAATTTGTCGTTGGAACTTCTGCGAGATGCAGACAAATCAGTTGGCTGATGGGTTGAATCTTCATCGCTGATCTGAAACGAGCCAAAAGTATAATTTCAGAATACACATAACCTAATCTTTACTGGCTGATGTTAAATTAGACTACACTCTTTTTAATTTTTTTTTAAATTAAAGCTTGTTGAAACTACACAATTATAAGGACAATAAACAAGATAATTAACACTAGGGATACATTCACAATGAAAATAGAACTACGCCAAGAATATTAATTACCTTCAACATTAAATAGTGGTATAAAAGCTGAAGGTCATGCCTACACAGACGATACAGCCCTAATGAATAGAATAAGGAAAGGAACTGGAGTCGCTTCAAAAAAATATAAAATCCGATGGATGTGAAAGCGATTTTGAGCCCAATTCATGCAATTTTGTCATCGCTTTCATTGATTTGTGACGAGGTGCATTATCTTTATGAAGCAGTAAGTACAATCTTTTTCTTCAGATGGGGCCGTTTTTCCGCGATTTCGTCATTCGAACGCTCCAATAACGCTATGTAGTAGTCGCTGTTGATGGTTTTTTCGACGGTTTAGACACACAGTGACGTCATCACACCAGTCAGGCTGCCTCTCAGCTCGCCATACAAGGCAGACAGACCACCCATTCAACCAGACTGTACCAAATTGTCACATGGTGTCCAGTCACCCAGTTAGCTAGGCGGTGAACCAATCAGAGTGTACCAAATTGTCACGTAGCGTCCTCAAACTGTCACGCAACTCGCCAGCTAATCAGAGCGCACGCTTCTGCATTTCAGAACATCGTGGCGGGAGATTTGAATTTTCCGTGGACATAAATCATATGGATTCAATATTAATAGCGCCATCTGTGTGTTAGCCTACCAACTTTCCAGAACATCTAATAGATATGGAATTGGCAAACAATATATATGTTTGATGAAAAGTGAATCATTTTGAATATTTGAGAGTTACCTTATAGAAGAGAAACAAAGAAGCACAGCCATTGGAACATTGAATAAAATGATGAAACGATAATCAGAGAACACAGGAAAATCATCGCAACAGCTGTTCTCCATGAAAAAACTGATAGGGGGGGATATTTAGAAAGGTACTAGTAGGAGCGCAAGAGACTGACAGACAATGAGGAAGGACAAACAAATCTGACATAAGCAGACTGTTGTCTGTACTCTCACATTACACAACTAGTCTAAGCATGAAGAATATATACTTGTTGTAACATGTCAACGGGTTCTTGCAAAATGTCACCTAAAAAGGGCTTCTGGAAGGTGAAAAAAGCAAAGAAAGACCAATAAAGAGGTAATTAGCTGAAATCAGAACAAACCTGAGGTAACTGAAGATTTGGAACTAGAAGAAAAAACAAAAAACATGAAAATGAGTCAGACAAAAAAGGCGTGTTAATAGGAGAAAGAAAGAAAATAAAGACCAAAAAGGATATGGCCGCTGAAATCAGAACATATTTGAAACAAAGAAGATTCAGAAGTAGAAAGATTAGAACGAAAGACATGAAAAAAGTGATATCATTGTTAGGCATATCCAAGTCATGGTATGGTACTGGCCAAATTGGAAACTTGCAAAATAACAAGAAAAGACAAAAGACTTGCAAACAGTAGAGAGGACAACGATGAGATTGGAATCTTTGGTGTGAAAGTTGAATAACTTTTTTCGAGATCAATTGCCCTAACACCAAACTGATATTTTTGCACTCGACGCGCGTTTCGCCAACAAAGTTAGCATCCTCAGGAGAAGAAAATTGAACCTTTAAATCATATAAACAAACCTTCACAGTATGGTACAATAATGGAATATATTTTGTAAATGAAAAATTTACAATGAATAAATTAGTACAACACCGGATATGTAGATGAATATAACTTAAAACTATTTACACTGAGGTTCTGTTCGCATTTCCAGCCAATCTGTCAACTACCTAAAAAATATGTAAGTAATATAAAAAATAATAAGAAACGGTATTGGAATCAAAAGAATATGTCTAATTTCTCCACGAAATTAGTTCGCAGTAGCCATGCATTGTCAAGTTGAAACTAGACATAGCCTGCCAGACCTGGTTTTGTTCCATTTATCAAGGTATGTATAAAAACATTGGTGGATAAATTAAGGGCATTTTGAGTAAAATTGAGTAGAAAGGAGTAAGAAATGAGAAAAATTGAGGAGTGCTTTTTCATTTTATTATTTATTTTTAATAATTCGTTCATTTTTGTTTATTTTATTTATTGATTAGTTTTTTATCTGTTCATTTTATTTTTATTTATAGGTTCATTCTATTTTTATTGATCTTTTTTTTTTGATTTTTAAAGGAACTGGGTTCATATAATTTTTCATTTGAAGTGGTAGTTTGTTATACAATATGAAAAATGCTGTTTTGGGAGTGACTTCGATTGGTTCGTGATAATTCGTGGTGGATTAATTTTGTTGGGAATTACAGTTGGTTTTGTTTTTTTATGCATATGTAGTTTGTCAATGTTAAAGATGTCGTGGTCTTCGTAAAGCCTATCAGTGGAGAAGGGTTTGTTTTTTTTGAAACCCACTTTTAGTATAGATTTGAGGACTTTTCAAATTTTGTAATGCATTATTAAATGATCCTCTCTCCGTACAGTATCTAAATAATGGTCCAATTAAAGATTTATATATAAGTTTTAGGTTCCGATTGTCTGAAATATACCTAAGTACATATCAGAAATACCTGTGTCTGATGATGATGAAGCATAAGAAATGGTGTACAAATCTCAGAAGTTGAGAAACTTGTGCGAGCTGAGGACTAACGAGGTCTTAACTTTTAACGTGTGATTCTTAACACGGAATGATCATCAAATGTAATTAAAATGTAGAATTGGTCTTGATGGTGTTTTTCTGAAAGCAGTTAAACAGAAAATTAGTTGTTGTGGGTATTTTGAATTATGTAATTTTTGGATAACTGAAAAATGTTTTTGTGCATTTAATTGGTATCACCTCATAATTTCTCAGCTACAAACACCTCAGCGGATATCTCATCAGTAAAGTCTCAGTAAAAAAGCCTCAGGACAAAAATTTCTCCAGACAAAACATCTCGCCAAATGTAATCTCATACAAAAACATTTCTATTTTCAGCGTTTCATGTATTTCCCTCTTTGATCGTCAAAGATACTCCTTCCTTTTCTACATATTAAGCGTGTTTTGAGATATCTTTTGTCCTAAGTTTTTTATTGATATGTTTTTGGGTGAGATAATATTGTCCAAAATATCATTCCTTAAATAGAGGAGTAGCCCATTTAATTATATTAAAAATGAGTATTTCCAACTAATATTGCGCTAACACTCATATTTTCTGACCAAATCGACTATTGCTTTAAAAATTTAATGAAAACATTGCACCCTGGTCTGACAGATCGGCGAACTTGAGTTTTGGCATGACTGCCGGAGGTTAATATATAGTTTCCAAGATAAATGACCCCAACCTCAGATGTTGATCATACTTACGCTACTAATTAATGGTAAATTTAAAATTGTACCCAAAACTGGCACCCTCCTTAAAAAATTTATGGCAACTGGGAAAAATCCACTGAAACAAATATATTCGTTTAAAACATAGGCACTATTTATGAACGGCTTTCATAATCCACAAATTTGTTTATTCATTCAGGAACTAGTTTAGAAAAGGATCAGTAAAAATTTGTAGAGACATAAACTTGTTCAATGCCAACGTTTCAAATTCTAACAAGTCCATCATCAAGTCTGTACAATGAGAAAAAATGGGCTTGAATATAGATTACATCTCTTCCACTTTATATTGCGTGACTTCATTTCGAATATATAAAGTATGTTGATGTCTAGAATGTCAATAACTTACCAAAACATACTAAAAAAGAATTTACAGAAAGCAAACACTTATTGAGTTGTTTCAGAAGTTTTGTTTGAGTCAGTTTCGGACAATTTTGCTCTACGAATTCAAATTGAACAGTCCAAAAAATTAACAAACTTTGGGTGCTTTTCAAGGTTTGGCTCTCCTATTGGGACAATTGGATTTTGGTTTCGATGTTATGACCATACACCCTTGATTTGTCACCAGTTATATTTTTAAGCAAATCTGGATCGCCGTAGACGTCATTCAGCAATTTCAAAATGAATTTTGCTGGAACACGCTTCATGCTCAAACATAAGGGCAGGTATAAACTATATTGAGGAATATTTTTCTCATTGTAGAGCTCTGAGGATGGCACCCTCAAGTTCGAAGCGTCGGTAATAAACAATAGATTTCTCTATGGATTTTTGCTGATGTTATCTCCATGTAGTTCCAAAATGAAGTGAGCAAAAATAGAAACTTATAATGTGATATTGGTTTAAAATTACCTAAACAGCAATATAAATCCATATGTTTCAACTATCATTCCCACTAGGGGCCATCTAAAAAGAACTAAGGCTATCCCACCAAAGAAGGCGAGTGACCCTTTTACTTTGTGTCGCTGAAAGAAAAATCGGAATGTTCGTTCCCTTCCTATAACAGCCGCTAGGCCTGCTATAAATAATATCTGAAATAGAAAGAAAACATTGATGGACAACAACGAATTACACTTATGATTGAATCACACAACAAGCTTTTACTTGAAGTTATCAGAATGTAAATTAATGGGAGTGATAAGGTGAATGTCTGGTGTATAAATACATCATTATTATGGAATACAATAACGCTAAAATAGAATAATTGAAATACTTGCATTTCCTAATGCTAGTAAGCTTCTATCAAACAGTAATAGTACTCCCAGGAAAATGAAGAATATTCCAAATGCAGAGAGTCCCACTCCGATTTCTGAAATGAATATATAAGTAAGAACATAAAACATCTTTTTTTCCTGACTAACTAACTTTGTGAGTCTGTTATTTCAAACATCCTCAAACTAATCCAATTTCAGTGTTCTTGTGATCAACTGTACAACATAACCTCTTACACGTCACAACAAATGAGTTGTAATGGAATGTCTGTATTTTTTCCGGGATTTTCTTATTGGATGGATTTTTAACTGGCGAAAAAAGCTCTTTCAAGGAGGACTAATCGCTAATTCATTGTTTCATTAGCATTTTCATACCAAAAATTTAAATAATCAAAAAATTACATTGACGGCTTCACATCATCGTGGGCCAGGGTTGCCACTCGATATTTCATTTTCGTACTAAAATTTAGATAATTCAGTAATAAAATCGGCGATTTCCTAACTTTTATATATGCCTATGATCCATATTTCTAGGTCATATTTTTAAAAGTGTATGGTTCGCTAAAGTAAAAATGAAGATTGGTCTACTGCACCTGACCAAAAGAAAGGTAAGATCGAAAAAAATATCATAGAAAACCTTAAATTTTGGCCTAGACTTGATGAACAGGTTGTTGAAAGTTTGACATAAGCCGTCAAAATGTACTTGAAAACGATAAACACCCGGAAAGTGTTCACAATAATAGAAATATAATAACGTGTTTCGTAGATTTATTACGAAAACCCTGGTTCTCTGTGGTTTAGTAAGAAGTTTCGTCTGGGTCAATTAACTCAAACTGTATTTTGGCGGTTAGCAGAGCTAACTGATGAACTGAACTGATGTGGTTCTCAGATATCTAAGAGAGTGAGAGGAATTTTTTGAAATAATTTTTTTCAATATTTGACGTGACATGATTTGACGTTGAATTCGAAAAACTTTTATTCGAACGCTAGCGCTACTCGTGGTTATATTACAAACATTCATAAAAACCCGGCTGCAACGATAATTAACCATCAATAATAATACTCTTAACTTTAGTAATTATGAAATTTAAAAAATAATAGAAACATTTCTGCAAATTCCTACCTCTTGATCAACTACAATTCTAAAAGCAATTGGAACGAATTGAAGTAACAATTAATTTCTTCGTCAGAGATACGGTTATTGATGTTTTAACATTTTATGGAGAAATGGAAGTTCCATTTGCAGTTTCAACAGATTCATTCGTGTAAAATTTGTTGAAATTAAAATATTTCAAAACTGGAACATGTTCGTTTCTTGTTAACTGTTCCTCAGTGCGGCCTCTATGAGGCAATAGCTAAACTAGATTACGAGAATCAATGTTAATGCAGGTGTTTTGGTTTGAATGAAACAGAATTTTTAAGGTTTTTTTGTAAGCCGGTAGATGAATCCCTTATACCTTTTTAACTCATTTTCTTAAATTTCAAATATATCTTTATTCATTCCTGTTTCCCATTGGAAATGAAGATGAATTTAATGGTGGATGTAGACATAATGACAAAGAGAAATTTTATAACCTAGGGTTTTACAATAATTCTTGAATTTAAAAACAATCTCAGTCACAAAAGCAAGAATTATGATTACTTAAAAAACTGTCCAGAGTTCTGATGAAATTATTAGGAAACTATCACATTGCCATGTATTCCGTCAACTTACAAATATAGAAGAAAATGGTATTGAATTAATTGGTGTACGTCAATCTAAAACTTTCTTCCAGTAAGTGGGTCAAAGTAATGCGCAATGACCCACAGTGGACGGCTATGAACATTTCATTAACATGCAGATAATTAAAGAGTACCTACATCCTCAAACGTCGCTGGCGGTGTCATTCCAAAACAGCGTGATTTTCCAGTTAATACAAAGTATTTTTTTTTCGACTGGGGCTTTTAATGGGACGTTTGTTTGAGAAAGTTCTTTTTTCTGGACGTTTGCTAATAAAACTAAGATAGGAGAACGTCTATTGAATCTACACACATCGGAAAAGTCTAGGGATATTTTTATAACATACTAAATATCATAAAAATAAATGCATGAGGTCGTTTAATTTCGATTAAATTGGTACACTCGACCACCCTGTAGATTTCTATGGGTTGAACAAAGCCTGCAAAAACGGTACCTAATCTTTTATCAAGTTTTTTACAAACTGTAGGTTTTCGGCTAAAATGAATAATCTGAAAGTGTCGAGTTTGTACATTCTATGCAGTTCTTGCTCAGCAATTAAACTGGAAATATTGTGCTTTAACATGGAACGCCATCACTTACCATTGGCTGAGATGAATAGAGCTGTAGGGCTTCTTCAAGGTGGCATGCGACAAAATGATGTAGCTCTTCGTTTGGGGGTCTCCCAAAGTGTTATCAGTCGATTGTGGCGGCGTTTCCGTGAAACTGGCAGTCCAGCCGAACAACATCCAGGGCGAGGACGCGCTACAACTGCAGTTCAAGACCGATTTTTGGTCTTAACCACAAGAAGACAACCGACAATCACAGCACCTGAGTTGGTTAACGTGTTGCAGCAGACGCACCAGGTAACCATTGGTCATGATACTGTCAGAAATCGACTGCATGAAGCAGATCTCCACAACAGAAGGCCACTTAGATGTCCACCTTTGTCGAGAGGTAATCGCCGTAGAAGATTAGAGTGGTGTCAAGAACATCAAAACTGGGATGCAAATGATTGGGCCACAGTTTTGTTTACAGACGAATCCAGATTTGGATTTCATCCAGATTCTCGTCGAGTAAGACTGTGGAGACGACCTGGAATAATGAACGTTTGAGACACATCCAGGAAGTCCACACATACAAAGGTGGTACAGTAATGCTATGGGGCGGAATCATGATCGGCGGCAGAACCGATCTCGTTTTTCCAGATCGCTCCCTCACAGCTCGACAGTACCTCGACACCATTCTTCTACCTATCGTCCGTCCGTTTGCTGGTGCTGTTGGTGAAAACTTCCACCTAATGCACGATAATGCTCGTCCACATGTCGTGCGAAGGAGTTGATGTATTGCCATGGCCAGCACAATCACCGGACTTGAATCCCATCGAGCATGTGTGGGACATGCTTCAACGAAGAATTACTCCGCATATGGGGAACATTCACACAACGTTCCAATTGAGAGAGCTTTTAATCGCTGAATGGGCAAATGTACCTCAACAAGACATTGACAATCTCATTTTGTCGATGCACGATAGATGTAGGGCCGTAATAAACCAGCGTGGAGGCCATACTTTGTACTGATTCCAATTTTTTTTTTATTATGATTTTTTTTCGGGGTGCCAAAGAAGAGCCATATTTTTTTTAGTTTTGCTTATATGCGCACTCAGTATTTTTGACCATTTAATAAATTTTGTTGTAAGTTACATTCGTTTAATAATCACCCGTCAACTTTTTTTTCCCTAAAGCGATGTAAAAAAAATGTATTGCCATTTTTAAAAATATCCCTAGACTTTTACGATGTGTGTATTAAATTCAAATTGTTTTCTTTTATTTATATCCTGTATCCTGGTAAAAGTAAAACATGAATGTCATTTCAACGTTAGTTTTTGAAAAAAACTCAACTCTGGGTTTATTTCTCAGAGGTACGATTTTTAGCTGGGGAAGGTTTTGGATATCTGTGTCTGATCTGTCTAGGTCTGATCTGAGCTTTATAAAACATCAAAAGTTGCTGAAGTTTCAGAACAGTGTTCTAAGCTTTTGAGAAGCAGCCTTTGCAATTCCAAAGACATGATTGTGCCAAGACATCTCTCTCTGTAGGTTAGGGATGGTGAGTGTAATCCCACAGCACTTAGGACACATGTGACCCATTGTACATCCTCCCAAGGAGTTGTCCTTCTAGGTCATCGTCCATCCTGTCCTTTCTAGGAAGGTGGACAGGTCACTTGGAGATATCTCCTTTATGTCAGCAGGTGTAGGCCAAGACTCGCCGAACACACACTCTCTTATTGACGATAACTCCGGGCACTCGCATACGACATGCCTCATTTTCCTGTTCACACATCCTGCATAGAGGTGTGTCCACTAACCTCATATTATGGAGGTGTTTCCTTAGTTGACAGTGGCCAGTCAGATAGCCTACTGTTAAGCGTAGATTTTTCCTGGTCATCGCCAGATATTTCTTCGGCACCAGCTTCCCAGGATCGCCCAGGGTGATCTTCAGTGGCGGCTTCTCCTATGAGGCAGATGAGGCAGTGCCTCACCAATAATTTGCAAATTAAATAAATCACAAATTTATATTATTTTACTATTTGCATTCATTATTATATCAATTAGAATTATTATTAAATTAGTAAAATACGGTCCTGACGCCGTCCGCCGTCAATTACCGCGTTTCACTATAAATATCATCCATCTCATTTCTGCTTTAGGTGGTATATGGATAGAGGCTTGCCTCTGCGTTTCTTTGTCTAGCGTATTACAATTGTTCTGTATGACACAGCCGAATCTATAAATAGCTTTAAAATGTGCGTAAAAACTTCGTTTTCAGAGGCAAGCCTCGTAAGCGACACGAAAATTAACGAAAAATGACCGATTGTCTTTCGGGGAGGGGGCGTCTAATGCTAGTAATGCTATTTTTAGATTAACAGGTTGAGTTTGAGTTGAGGGTTAAAAGTGCACAGTGACAGTGCACACTTTTTTATTATAATAGATAGTTTTCGGTTCGGTGAGCAGTGAATCTCGGTGGTTTTTCTAAAATATTACATTACAACATTACTTATAACCGAAAAATGGATTTAGCGGGACCTAGCACAGCGTCACAACTTCCCCAGGTAAATGTAAACATTCGTAATACTTGTGATCTTGTTAATACTTTAGTAAATGAGCAGAATGAGCAAATTATATTTAATTTAATTTTTTTAAATTTAATGTTATAATTTTTTTTACAAATGGTATTACACAACTGACGAAGTAGAGTGACCACTAGACTAACTTTAAATTCTAACTTTGCTAAAAAAAATATTTAACTGTGCCTCACCATTTTCAAATACCACGAGCCGCCACTGGTGATCCTGGCAAGATTGCATCCCATCTCTTTAGGGGTTGAGCATAGATGTAACATTTGGCTAGTTCCGCAATTGTCGAAGGACTGGGACCTAAAATTCTTAGTCCAGCCGCTTCCTTGGCTAAAGAGTCGGCAATGCGATTACCTTTACTCCTGTATAACCCAACTCAGGATAATGTTATTATAATAACGGAGAACAGTTTTTCAATTCATTTGGTGATTTATTAAATGCACGTAAGCCATTATTAGCAGGAGAGCAGAAATGTACTCTACTTTTACAAGTAGAAGTGATTTTGTGAACAAGTATATTAGAATTCTTCACAAAACTATCCCTATTCTTGAAAATATAGGGACATAATTCAACAATATATAACGATGGGAGTGTTAAGATT